ACTTTATACTCCTACTCCACTTCATTTATTTTAAAATGTATAGTTTTTATGTAGGAAATATGACATATATTATATGTATATTATATGATGCATTACACTGAGTGTATAATACTTAAGTAATAATCTATCCAGTAGTGTACAAAGTATCGAACATTAAATGCTCTTATATGTATTTATTAGTGATAAAAACATAAACTATAATATTCTATAATAATATAACACTGACTGATACTTGAAGTGCATTTTGCTGATACTGCTGTATATTACTTTCACTAAAAGAAGCTACAAGGAGCTTATGTTGATTCTGGTGGCCCCTGTGGACAAAAATATGTTTCTCTTCTTGTTCCTACAGTTGGACATTTGAATTTCACTGTGCAGAATAATGAAAACTGGAAAGTTTCCCTGTGCTCCTTGAAAATCACAAATAGCTTGGAAGTCAGTCCTGGTCCAGTTTGCAACTGTGTGTGATGTGTGATGTCCAAACTTGAAGCCAGTGCACACACATGAATGGACTTTACAGTGAAGAAGGAGAGCTCTTGTGTCCAGTAGGAAAACTTTAGGTTTTTGCATATTCATAGTTTATGGAAATGTTTAATATGGTAGAAGGAGTAGATGCCTTTATGGATTTGAATGTGGAAATTCAACTTTTTTTGCAGAACAATCAGGCACTCAATATTGTTCCAAGCTGATTATTTGTATGGATTATTTGTTTTGATACACGTGTGGGAGGGATCTTTAAATTAGTGTTAATTTAGATTTCTGCTTTTACTACAGTAAATGATCTGAGTAGTTCTTCCACCACTGAGTACTCACATTGTTTGATATCTGGGCTCTATGCAAGTATGTGTGCAGTGTACATAATGGAAAACTGCAGGTGACTGCATGAGTAAATAAACAATGCACACAGAGCAAAAGGAATGGGAGATTAGTAGTGGACCACAGCTATTTTCTTCATTCATTTAAGATGAATTAATTATAGAAAAGGAGTGATTATATAAAGGAGAGTAATTATATGCACATCACCTGGATGCAAGGCTATTGGAATGAATGAAAAAAGGTAACGCCTGCACACTTGCTCCATGCCATAAAAGTTTAATAGTGACACGTGGATCTTCATCAGGTCAGAAAGTTTGAAGTAAGTGTATGTAAGTTTAGAGTAAGCGTCCAGCTGTTTCACTGAAGCAGTACTGACAGTAGCTGTAGTAGGCATCGCTGGTAGGGGAAGTCAAAGAAGCACCACTAAAGGAAGAAGACATTACATTCCTGTTGTCCTCAGTCCTCTGTGTCATCTTGCGCACAGAGGTGGGGCGGCCTGTTAGTCATCTATAGGAACGTTTTCAACCGTACATTCCATCAACATAATAACGCTGATGTTTCCTCCATCAGCTTCCTCTTCCTGCGGGGATCTGTCTCCAATCACTGCTGTCAATTAGACCAGCTCCTTCTCCCATGGACTTCTGCCTAATCTACTTTCTCTCTGGACTGATCACATTACGGTTCAGATGGTGCCATCATGGTTAAGAAGAGGGGGGAGGAGGAGGAGGAGGAGTTCAGGGTCATCTGCTGACTGGAAGGAGATATGAAAGAGGAAGGCCAGATATGCTGTTGTCATGATGTAGTGGTAAATACAATTTATGATCATCATAAGGTACGCAACCACGAATTCAAGCAAATATAAATCATATGTATTGAAAAATTGCTCCCATCTTTAAAGATCTTTTTTATCTATCGCATCCTACACAGATCAGCCATAACTTTATGCAGCTCCATTTACAACAAACTGTGATGCACTGACCCCTTTCTATCAGAACCAGCATTAACTGTTTCAGCAGTTTGAGCTACAGTAGCTCGTCTGTTGGAGCCTTCACTCTGATGTATTTTTTTAAATTTCAGTCAGGTGAGTCATTAAAGTTGAAGCTGAAGCACAACATTTTACTCAGTAAAGTGTCTCCATTAAAGTGTTTTGGCTACTTGGGGCAGTGCAAAAAGTTGCTAACTACTGTTACGACCCAGCTCGAAAAGGCAAATCAAAGGTATTTATTCTAAGGAAATTAGAAACCTTAAAACGAAATTAAAAGGGTGAGGCAAAACTACAAAGGAGGGCTGGTGGTGTTTAAATCAAAGACGTAAATACAACCAAAAGATGACTCAAAGAGCTTAAAACTATCTGAAATAAAGAAACATTGAAAGAAAACCCCCACTAACTACTAGTACTTACCAAAGCCAAAGGACAGCAGCTTGTGACAATATAGGATGCTTTTTGTACCATTTTAGTGTTTTTTCCAACCAAAACTTAAGCAAAATTCCAATGAATCAGCCCCTCATTTCTCCAATTAGTACAGACTTACCAAATGAAATTGACAGGGCATGGGCTCAATAGACTCTACAGACAGTAACTGATATGACAGAAAAAAAAGTTTATTATAACTGGACAGAAACATTTTTCTCTTCTAAATTATTATTCAGTCAGTGCTGTTACAAAAGCCTTGAAAAAAATCTGTTTGATTAAACTGAATACTTTTTACTTTGATTGTTATTTAAAGGTGGATTTGAGTTCACCTAATTACATAATAAAACATAAAATGAAGGAGCAGAGGGACGTCTTATTTTGAAGAGGAATGGGCCTGATTGATAAGACATTACAGATATGGTGGTGTTTCACATTGTCAAAGATAAGGTGTCTTTTATAGTTTGTTTTTAAGTGTGATTTTTTAGTTTTTCTTGTTCATATTTTATTTTTATGCCATATCACCCAGCCCTAGTTGAAAGAAATGATAACACATAGAAAAACAAAATGACAATATTAATCATGGTCCATAACATATAATACAAAGGAAATATCCATCCAATTTCATGGCTAATTTGACATAATGTAATTTAAAGTTGATACCTGTTTATCTATTTATCTTTTTAATTCTACACCACTATTGCCTCTTTTCTCTTTGTTTTATCCTTTTCCCCCCTATCTCTGCTCTGCCACCTACAAAAGCTCTGCACTCTCTCTGTAGGTCATGTCTAAGCCAATCATCTTTTTCTCTCCAGTGATACTGGCTAAATGGTTCACACGCATATGGGTGGATGGATGGATGGATGGATCAATGGAGGGATGGATGGAGGGATGGATGGGGCGCCGGCCAACGTCACGACTAATTCACTGTGCCATTCCAGCAGAGCAAATCAGGCTCATCAGGGACACTGTGGGTGGATTCAGAAACACTTCACTCCTGTGCGGTGTCCTTTTGTAAAAGCCCAGTACAATCTGAAATAGAAAACAGTGCCAGTATCTTGCAAACACCCTCAAAAATGTTATTGTGTTTGTCTAAAATGGTAATCTGCAAGATCCAGTCCTCAGCACTGTCAGTGGCACTATGGATATAAACAAATAGATATAAATGGCTGCAATAGGATTTTTGTGTCACGACAGGACAACTCGTTTTTATAACAAGTCATTCAAAGTGGGGTCCACAAGCTACAGTTTGCCTGTGATAACCTTTCTTCTGTATTATAAAACACATGGCATAGTTTTTATGCATGTTTTAAAGAAAATAGCATACATTCAAGTACTGTATCTAGTCTAGTGTGTGTGATAATTTGAGTGTGTGAAACACATCAAATGTTAAAAAAATCTCCACTAGTTGTCAGAAATGTTCATCAAGATCATATTTGTCTAAAGAGAGATTTGACAGTCTTGGATCAGCATTTGGTGATATTGCAGGCTGGACTTTTTATAATTCATGATATGTACTTCAGTATGTGTCATTTGACTGATATTTAGGGTTTCAAATGTAACATAAACAGTGATATATTTCTGATTATTGCACATTTTACACACATAAGTACTGATGTTTCGGTTGACTAGAATGATTAAAGCTTATTTGGTTTGATACTGAAAGTGGGTAAATGGTATCGAATAGGTGTGGGCTGAAAAAGGTTTATTTTGAAATAATTTTGTTAGTATGACAGCATAAGAATCATTTCAGCAGAGTCATTCTCAGACATTGTGCATTAAATATTTCACATCCCAAGACCTAAAAAACAGCTAAACAGACATTCAGAAATTATGACAAGCTCATGATTTATTGATTTCTCCATAGCACAATCATCCGTATATATATTTAACTCTGAAAATGTATCAACATAATAAGCAACTACCAATCATTACTTAAATTTACAGTCACAATAGCTAAGTTGAGGCTTTTACTAGCCCATTGGACCAGTTCTGGGCACAGCATCGATTCTATAAGTTCTCCTTTCAGATGTCAGACCATAATGTAAAGATAAAAACAAGAGCTTTCTATACATTACATATATACAGTATAAACATGATTGAAATAAATTAATAAGGGAAAAAAGCTCTTATAAAGTTAATTACTGCAGTTCATGGAGAGAGTATCCGAGGGGTCTAAAACCTTATGTTATATTTATTTGATGTGGATATTATCAGTTTATGTTTATTATTTCTAGAATCTCTTTGGTGCTGTGTGGAATAATAAAGTTTTTTATTAACTGTTTCTTGGTTTGTGGATACTTGACCTGGTACCCCCTTCTTCTCCCTTATATTGTCATTCCTCTTTTTCTTCTACCTTGTAGAATATATCTGCAGTAAACTCTTGAGTTAACTTCCTATTTCAGATAATAATTATCTAATTTCCAATGTCTCCCTTCCTGCAGCACCTGACCAGCACTGTGATCAGAAGAGCCCAGGGGAAAAGGATCAGATGAGTCAACAGCATCAACGTTGGCATATAAATTAGTTATTCATACGATTAGTTAGAAGAAAAGAAAAGAAAAGAAAAGAAAAAAAATTCCCCACTAATTTCACCATAAGCCTGTATATTTCCGACCGTGAGCAAGACCGATGACGGAAGCAGCGACCTACTGACGTCTCAGGCCCCTGATCGAATCTGATGTCCCCTCCTGCTCCATGAGAAACATCCAGGTGTATAAAACGGGAGCAGACCTGAAGGCGAGAGAGACAGAAAGACAAAGAGAGTCAGGAAGCATCTGGTCAACAGAGTGGAGATACAGCAGCGACTCGAGATCAGGACTTTGGAGAGCGCAGCGGACAGAGCCAATATCAGACAACTTCCTCTAGAGCACATGTAAGATTTTATATTTACATAGAAATTATTTTAGAGCTTCATCAGATGGTGGGTACTCGGTTGTGTCTGTGTTTGGTCATTTTCAACTTTTCTTTTCTTTTTGCGCGCTCCAACCAGGTTTTGGAAAAGTCTTGCCCAATAACCGAATATGGAGTTTTAAGTAGAATGAATTGCTCGTTGTAGTGTCAGCAGCAGTTCGACACATTACATTTGGTTTGTAATCTGTGGTGGCAACAGAACTGCAGCGTCCCCGCGGTGTAATAAGATGTTTAGAGCTCGCCGGTGTCCGCGCTGTGCGTAATTGCGCATTGGATTCCGCTGTGTTTATTTTCTGTCTAAATTAACTATCCACCGAGGGAATTGTTTTGTTTCTTTTCAGTTGGCAGGGACTTGACTAAAATCTGAATCAGTTAATAAATGGTTGAAACTGACAGCTAAATGATCTTTAATAGGCGTGAGCGGATTAAATTTACTCTGATTACTTTTTTGGAGGAGATGGATAGCATTTTGGCAGTGAACCTGGGGGGTAATGGGGTTTGTCCTCGTCAGCCGTGCGTAATTACGCGTATTAGATTCCGCCTGTCTTTTGCTCTCCTCGGACGAAACTCACCATTAAATGAAGGTTTATTAAAGATCGATATCCAAACGGCTCTTCGTGGCTAAACTACGCTTCTTTTTCTTAGCTTTGTCTCGAGCAGTTATCCACTTGTTTGCCACTTAATTGTTGCGAGTGATTTAAGGTAATGAATAAAACTTCACGGGTAACGTGTGAAGGATAGTGCCTGGTCGTCGGCAGACTGGTGGGAAATGGTAAGGTATGTGTTCAGGTTAGATGGAGAATAACCCATGACTGTTTCCATCCTCAGGTGTAAAGCGATGTTACAACGAACCGGCCCCCAGCTGCTTTTCCTAATAGCCCTGTGCAGTGTGTTATACTCCCGGACTCTGAGTCTGCCGTACACATCCATGAGGTAAGAGAAACCATTGTTCTTTCGATCCAAAATAGAAAGAAATAATTACAAATGCTGTGTGTAATTGATGCCAGAGGTCGTGGATCACATGAATGTGCCTCAGAAAGAGTAGTGTTTCAAAGTGAACAGAGAAGAGAGAGCAAAAACGAAGTTAAGAACTACACCAAAATCGCTTTAATATTTGTAATATTGAAATTATGATCTTATAGTGTATTACTGTATTTCTAGTCTTCTGAAAGGGGTGCTGTGATAGGCTATTTGCCTTTCATACCAGATAACTCTTTAAGATTTTACGCTTGTTGGTAGCTTTAAGGAGTAAATCTTTATTATCTTTTTTTCCTTTTTTTTCCTGCTGCCCGCTTTAGATCATTATTAGTAGCAATAATTAGAACCGAAACACCGTCAGAATTAAGCAGAATCGAGAACTGGAGCTGGTGCGCGTTGTTGCCGTATTTGGTGTTTCGATGTATCAAATGTAACCAGATGTTATTGTGATTGTCCTGCGATTCTGTGCAGACCGACGAGACACGCAGACGGTCTGTTCACCAGCGGATACAGCAAACTCCTCGGACAGCTATCAGCGCGGAGGTACCTGGAGTCTCTGATCGGGAAGCGGGTCAGGTAGGTGACCTCCCAGTCCGGAGAGACCGAGAGGAAGACGCGTTAGAATCACAACTAAATGGAAAACTTTAGTTAATTGTTTATTGCTTGAAATTGTTAAACGGGATTTCATAAAGCCTAAAACCTATTTTAAACACCTTTTCACTTTTGGGAAGGTTTTACTTTTTTTTCTTTGTCAAGAGTAGCTGCCAGACCTGGATCTGTAAAGTGATAGATCCAGAAAAAAATGTAACATGGTTTCAGATTTTTTATTATTTTAAAGAAAAAAAAGGGAGACAAACGGATAAAGACAGGGTTATCTGAAGCCAACATCAGCCTCGTCCTTTAAAAAGGTGTAAGTGTAGATAAAATGTAAAAGGGTGTCGGAGACATGTCAAACATAGTGGGAGAAATCTCACCTCAGACTCGTAACAAACTGTTCATTACAATGTCATCAGAGTTGTTTGTGTTCATACTGAAGTTAACTCACACAAAGAAAGCAGTAAGCATTTTTCAAGTGTGGTTTAATTTTGAAGGGAATTAAAACTTGTGATTGTGATGGTCCTTCAGGGATTTTGGCTGTTAAATCTTAGTCAGCTAATTTCAGTTTTTCACGGAAACCTTTTTTTTTCTCACTTCAATGACTTTTTGTAAAATACATCATGTTTTATTATTTCATGTAGCGAGAGGTGACTTTTATGGGTAATGTTTACAGTTTAACACCAGAGGACCAACTGACATTTGCCATGAAAAGACTCGACCTGCTTGATGATGCATTTTGTAATTGACTAAACATTTTTAAAGGTTAATTTATACCACTACTGCTTCATTACATTACAGCCAGGAGGGATTCACAGTCACACACATACACACACACACACAAAGAGAAGAAAGACACCATGAATCACAGATCCTGAGCTGCACTGATTTGGCATTGAAACCTGCTGCCCCCTGAACTGTGGTGACACTATTATACCTTCATTCTTCTTTTCCGACCAGTGATGAGCTGATGGAGGAGCCAGTGAAGCGCCACTCAGACGCTATCTTTACAGACAACTACAGCCGCTTCCGCAAACAGATGGCCGTCAAGAAGTACCTGAACTCAGTCTTAACAGGAAAGAGAAGGTGGGTATCAGCCCTTCCTACCTTCACCTGTCCATCTCTGTTTCATCCTCAACCTTAAGCTGACTGATTGAAAGGGGTTAGGATTTTTAATGGAATTCTGTATTTCTTTCAAATCAGTATGTACAGTAGCAGCCGTTAAGAACATTCACATTGACTTTACCACTTAATTTTTGTGGTTGCTGCTTGCTGAGACTCCAATGAGCTCAGCGGTTTGAAACCAGACTAGCTAACATATTATGAGCGATGTTTATTATATCATGAACAAAAATCCTCAGAACATTGTACACAACTTCTTAAACATCGTTGTAAATCTCAACCAAAGCATTATTCAACAGCTGCTAGTAAAAAGCATGTGATGTGACCATTAAACACAGACTTTCCCAGTACTGTATGAACACAGCACAACCGTGAGCACTAAAAAAGCCATAGACACAAAACAACACAAAATCTAATCAGCTGATTAATGGACCAAATAGCCACACCAGCTACTTGAACGTTTGTGAGACACCTAGCTTCAAAAAAACACAGACAGTTAAACCACAATCAGCAGTGCAGCTCATGTTAATGTATGGTTAAGTAATAATACATAGGAAAGAATAAATAAAGTTGTTCATACTATTTAGACCCCATAAAGGCTTTTTTCTCCTGTCAAGTGTTCCACTATATTTCCCATCATCTAAATCATCTACAATGGGCCTTAGAATTTATATGTATATTTGTAACAAAATGTTACTGTTTACAAGATAAAACCATTCATGTGTATCAATTTTCTTCACAGCCTAGAAGATCCTGGAACCAGCGACTTGGAGGAGTCCAGGGACGAACCCAACTCTTTCCAGGAGAGCTACAATGACATCAATGTAGATCACCTCCTAAACAACCTTCAACTGGTAGGAACACACACACACACACACACACACACACACACAAGGTCTAAAACTCAAATTAATCCCTCGAAAGATAAAAGTTCAAAAGCACACAAACATTATGTCCTCATATGTGAACCTTTAAATAGCTAGAATATTTCTGATACAACTGTCACACATTCACACTAAGGATACATTACTATATTGATACTATAGGACTGTCAGTTTTCTGTTGTTCTAGATCAATAACCCTTTCCATTTTCTCCCCTCTCCTGCAGCCACTTTGAGGAGGGGCCCATGCTGGAGTGAATACCTCAAGTCATCTTCATGAAACCACCCATTCCAAAACCAACAGAGTATTAATCCAAAGGACATTTGAAAGTCAAATCAACCAATGATGATGTGTTCTCCAATGTGGTTATCTATCTATTCATACACACAGTACATGTTTACACTGTATATATACAGTATATATATACAATACTAATCACTAAAGATTCTGGGCCAAAGACTGTGGGCCGCACTGAGCAACATGCATGTCCTTGAGCAGTTTGGTCATCAGCGTTTGAAAATGACAACTGGCAACAGTAATATATAAACAGAAGAACTATGTATACTTTCTTTGTTCCATTTATTTTTAATGGAATCATTTCTTTTTTTATAACTTTTTATGTAGTTACCACTGTCCTATTAAATTTGAGTGAAATTTGTCCCAGCAACCTTCAGTGAAACATTTGACTCATTGAATGTCAATAGAACAGCATTTACTTTCAGTAGTGTACCTTTCCCATTGATTTTCAGTGGATCTACTGTAACCTTAGTTTTAAGTGACCAAGGTTTGTTCAGTTAACTTTGAATGAAAAAATAAGTCTGATTGAATTGTTGTGAAATTTCACTTACATTAAATCTTAATGGAGAATGTGTCCAACTAATCTTCAGTGCAATACTAGTACCACCAGCTTTCAGTGGGAATCATTGCTTTGCTGAAATTTAACTTCAACAGAACCATTTACTATTAATCACAAGATACTTGTATACTATAAAATGGAATTTTGCTGCTGCACTATTAAATTTGAGTGAAATTTGTGCCATCAACTTTCATTTGAACACAGTTGACCCATTGAACATCAATGGAGCGGCATTTACTTTTACTTTTCTATTGAATTTTAGTGGATCTATTGTCACTTTTGCATTAAGAAAAAAACAACATTTGCCCAATTAACTTTGAATTGAACATCTGTGTGATTGAATTTTGACTAATATCCACTAACCAGTACTTTCATTAACTTTCAATGGAGAACTTGTACAAATAATATTCAATGAAACACTAGCACTATGAGCTCTCAGTGAAATCACTGCTTTATTAAAAAAAATCACTGGCCTATTTGTCACATTTTGTTTCAAGATAACTGTTCTATTAACCTTCAGTGGAAACATTTCTCCTGATAGCATTCAATGAACTTCTATAAAATTTGAGTGGAAATTGAAATTGACTTTCAGTTAAACATTTGCCTTGTTGAACGTCAATGGAACAGCATTGATTTTGATGCATTTATTTTGTTTTCAGTGTATCTATCCCTTTAGCTTTAAGTTAAACATTTGTGAAACAACAGTTAACTTTAAATGGAACATCTGTCTAATTGGATTCTAATTAATTGAACTAATATTAACCAATAGTTCCATTAACTTTCAATGGAGAACTCTAGCACCATTGGTTTTCAGTGGAATCTCTGCTTTATAAAAAGTTATGTTGCCTCATTTACCGTTAATAGAACAATAGCTGCATACAATTACAATCAAACATTTCATTGATTCCATTTCATTGGGAAGATAACTTTCCTCACATGTATTGTTCAATTACAAATGGGACAACAAATAGGGACAAGTTTCAGCAGAACATCTGTTGTGTTAAATTCAAATTAGCAGTTGTCACATCCATTTTCAACGGTGCAATCATGATGTAAGTGCCGACTGAATTGTTTTAGAGAATCCAAACATGGTCATTTGATGATAAAAAAAAAGATACAGGAGAAAGAGGAAGTGGAAAACATTTTGAATGGACACAGATGCATATAATAACTTTATACTATTCAATATGTAGAGCAAAGACGTTATAACTGAGCATAGACCTGCCTTTAGTGCATATAGTGATGTACACCACTCACCAAATAAAAGATATTGTTTTATTTTTCAAAGCTGAGTCTTTTGTCTGGCTGATTGTTTGACGATTGGAGTTTTACAACATGAGCTTGATCAGTTTGAGCTGTTAATGGTGGATTTATATATATTTTTTTACGTTTTCCTTTCTTGAAAACTTTCAAACGTTCAACTTGTTGTTTGTGTGTTTACCCCAACATTTCATTCCTTTAATGGGTGAAAAACAGCATTCAAACTATTATAAGACACTAAATGTCTCCACAGAATGTCTGGCAAGTGTACCTTTCCAATCACATAAACTGCAATGTATATTTATTAGTTGTTTTTTTTTCAAATCACCACTTTTTAATTGCATTAAACTAAACATCGCTATCCCAGGTCAGCCAAGTAGAGCTTCTAAATGAAAACACCATGGATGTGATCATACGGAAGGATGCGACATGTTGACATATATGAGTACAAACAAGCAAGCGACCTTCACTTCTTCCCTATGGGTGTTAGCTGATTGATGTAAAGTTCAGTAACACTGACATGAAAACAGTGAGTGTTTGTTTTCCCTTAAAATGCCTCCTTCTTTCCTTCTTAACCTAGAAGCTCATTTAAGTGCCAGCTGTCCCAGTAGTAAGTTTGAGATCTCCTAGAAGCATCATCTAAGTATCCTATCAGCAAGTATTTGACCACACCCACAGATAAATAGAAAAATTACTATTGAAAACATTAAAGGCAAGTGTTACCTATAGCCATTTCTGCTTCATATCTCTTCTACAACAGTTTCTTCCTTTGTTGCACCTTTAGATTCTTTCTTTAGATTATTTCCCGATTCTATTCAATCCTGTGTCATTATTTTACTCACTGTTTTCTTTCTCCCTCCTATGTTTCATGATAGGAAACACAGAATAATAAGAGAGAAGAAATGTGCAGTTTGAAAGCACAACATAGAAACTGTGTGACTTTGGGTGGGCAGAACAAATATTTCAGCACCATGGACAGCGACACGTTGCTAGCAGTTAGATATTTGGCTTAGTTTGTCTCTAACTCTTTTCCTTTTTAAAATAGTTTCTGGATTTAAATCAATTGCTATGAGGTTCCCTTTCTTAAATGTCAGCTTCAGGCAACAGCTTAAAGGTCTTTATTTAAGGACTTTCTGAAACACTTCTAGAAACCGGACCAATGAAATGGCCCTATGTCTTGCCACTCAGCTCAGGCTTGAAAGGGAGGCTTAAATCACCTGGGGAGAGGAGATAAGGAGGTGGTGGTAGGATTGTGATGCTAAATGATGCCTTTTCAGAACAACCTGACCTCCGGGAGTGTTCAACAACCAGAAATGAAGCTGAACAGGTTAGTTACACTTAGCACATCCACTGTGACAGATATTGGGTTCGGTAATGGTTGGGATTAGGTTAGGCAAATGAACAAAACAGAATTGGAAACTAAATCTGAGTTCTTTATATGAAATAATAAGTATGGTGTTTTTTTTATATTATATAAACAAACACCATGAAAAGATAAAGAAATACTAGTTGACATGTTTCTTTATTACTATTACTTTATTATCATAAATCAAGATGTTATTAAGAGTCTATCACACATACACTGTACTGTGTATGTTTTATTGATATAATCACACTGAAGTCTTCAGATTTAATGTAATAATATTACACCTTTAATTCCTATTCAGCAGGCTTTCACAGTTTTAGTGGAAGTAGGTCATATTGGAAACTGCTAATGGACAGTTGTGTAAAGTCTAAAGGTCTGAAAGTAGCCATGCTTTCAGCCATGTTGTTATGCTTCACACCATTAGCAGACTTTTCAGTCAACCAACTGTGAGTTTCCATATCTTTGCTCTATAACAGCTCCCACTGTAGGAGGAAATGTTTACCAAAGACAGGTGATGAAAGAAGTTGAAGTGCAAATGGACTGTTTGTTTCTGCCCCGTTCTTTACAACTTTGTTGTAATAAAAAGGGTTTAGTCTTTAATAGCTTTCTGGCTGTGTCGTCTCAAGAGGATTTAACCAAAACCCCACATACATAAATACAAAGTGGGGCGCACTTAATGGCTTGTGTTACAAACTCATTCATTCTTTTTTAGTGGGCTGCAGATTATCCACAAATGGAACTTCTTGGTCAACTCCATAGTCGTGTCTAGATGGTTACCCTAGATTTGCAAAACTTTTCTTAATTCAGAACAGCAGCATTTGACACCATGATGACAAAGGCTTTCTATCTTTGACAAAGTAGTAATTCAAATCCTCAGAGAATTACGCATATCTAGGGTTAGATGCTTTAATAGATGCTGTTTCGAAGGTTTTGTAAATTAATTTATCCTTTATTTACCTTTTAAAAATCTGCAGTAGGTTGCACCAGTTATGTCGTTTGCTCCTAAAATTAGGGTGTAAAGTCAACACTAGAGGCTTAGTTGTTGCTTAGTTTGTAATTAAATCTGATACTAGTTTGGACTTTAAGTCATAACTAAGGCAAGTGGCCGATGTATAACAATTTACTTTTTACTTAGAGTTATGTTGTAACTTAAATCTATGGCGCAACCACGTTTATTTCAGTCATATACAAATCATACCATAGTAATAATTTACATTGTAACTAGGCTAAGTTTAAATTCAAACCCAGCTGGAGTTAGGCTCCTCTAAACCAAGCTTGGAGCTTAACATGAAGCTTTGATATTGTCCTTTAGACAAGTGATCAGAGGTCAACAGCAGATACGTAAATTATATAAATAAAACTCAATTGTAGTTGAAGTTACAAAGTATTCTTTTATTGTTTTCTTTTGCCCTCTGTTTCATATTTCTAAAGTTAGTTGTAAATGTGATTTTAACCCATTATATTACTTCTAAGTTGAGTAATTTTTTACCTGTACTATCCCTAGGGATTTTTGCAAAAAAATAAATAATCATCAGAGAAAACCGCATATAACCTGATGAATTGCATGCAGGGTTCTCTCAAATGATTAAATTCTGGTGTTAAGTTAAATGGAATTGCTCACACTCTCCCTTGTGACTCATAAAATGGCAGCGGATATTTGACTCATAAATGTCATAAGCAATGTTCTGCCGGGCTGAACTCAGATCAGACATCTTATCTTATACTCAGACACCAAGGCGTCACTCTGTGTGGA